CGCCCTCGAGGAGGAGGAGAAGGAGAGGACCCGTGAAAAACCCTGAGCAAGACCAGTCGTATTCTCAACGACAGGCGCGCTCGCTTAGGAGCCGTGCGCAAGAGAATTGGCCATCGCCTCAACTAGCCAAGGTTGGCAGGCGGGCGGCAGGCGCCCCTCCGTCAGGAAGCAGTGTACTTAGCAACGACGAAATCGCAAGCACGGCATTCCACCGAAGGCCAGGCAAGGACGCAAACAAGTTAGAGCGTCTCCGGGGAAGCAGAATCGACAAACAGGCCGCTTTCTGACTCATCGACTCACAGCCCTCACCTTTGCACGGCGCCACTCAGCTCACACCTTCTGCGAGCCCGCCACCTGACAATTGTCGAGCTACATTCCTCAAGTCACGACACGTTCCCGTAGCTGTGCCGCCCCAAACAGCTACAGTGGGGCACATATTCCACGCGAGACAGCCCACCCCCACGTGCGCCAAGGCGTGGCATCCCGGCCGTGAGAAGAACGGGTGGGGGTCCCCACTGAGCTGTTCGCGCTCACACTCACGCTGGCCAGGGCGGTGCACCCTGGCAGTGGGGAGAAAGGATGGGCAAGCAAAACGTACGACGAGAAGGGGATGATATAGGCCATGAGGAACCATAGGAGCAGAAGGAGGAGCGCGGATTTTGAAGTTCCCAGGGACGCCGCGTGCGTGCTGCACCAACGAACGGGCTCCCAGCCCTGGGGCATGAGGAGGAGAAGGACCAGTGCAAACCCAATACGCATCGACGATATTGCAACAAACCCTCCAAGTTCCAGGTCCCTACCAGCATTTCTTGCTCACTGCGGGAAGTGCCCCGTTCGAGGACAACCAGATGGAAACCTTCAACAGTGCCAAAACTCCAGACCTTGGACCTCAACGTCGCGAATCAGTGTTACTGCTGCGTCCTGACGATCTTGAATCGCGCCAGAAGGCCATCCCTGGGTCTTTAACATTGCGAATCATCGTGATTGTTGCGTCTTGACAATCCAAACTCGTGGCAGACCACCATTCCAGAGGCGTCAACCATACGGATCCTTGAAACTGTTGTAAACTTGTGAGACGAAGGTGCGCGGCGTGAAGGCTACAGACACATTTTGAAAAGGAACCGTCCTCCATCCGTCAAGACTGTCGTATTTCCCAACCATCCTGTGATGTGGGGTCCTCTTTTTGAAGAGAAGGTCCCGCGTTCCTCCTTCCTCCTCCCTCCTCCCCCTCTTTTCATCATCATCATCAGCATCATCATCATCATCATCGTCGTCGTCATCATCGTCATCATCATGATCATCAACCGTATTATCAACATCATCACACCTTTCGTTGCCCCATAGGGAGCTACACCAAAGGTCCCCGTGGCGCAGTCCGCATGCGTCTCCCCCACCCAGTACAGCGCTTCGTGGCCCCATTGGGGCTCCGCCGAATGTCCCCGTGGCGCAGTCCGCATGCGTCTCCCTCACCCAGTACACCGCTTCGTGGCCCCATATGGGGCCCCACCGAAGGTCCCCGTGGCGCGGTCCGCATGCGTCTCCCCCACCCAGTATTGCGTTTCGTGGCCCCATGGGAACCCAACCGAAAGTCACCGTGGCGCAGTCCGCGTGCGTGTCCCACCCAGTACACCGTTTCGTGGCGCCATAGGGGCTCCGCCGAAGGTCCCCGTGGCGCAGTCCGCATGCGTCTCCCCCACCTGGTACACCGCTTCGTGGCCCCATAGGGGCTCCGCCGAAGGTCCCCGTGGCGCAGTCCGCATGCGTCTCCCTCACCCAGTACAGCGCTTCGTGGCCCCATATGGAGCCCCACTGAAGGTCCCCGTGGCGCAGTCCGCATGCGTCATCCCCACCCAGTACAGCGTCTCGTGGCCCCATAGGGAGCTCCGCCGAAGGTCCCAGTGGCACAGTTCGCATGCGTCCCCGCCACTCATGCCGGCACACCCCTCACACGTTTCGTGACCCCATAGGAGTTTAGCCGAAGGTCTCAGTGGCACAGTCCGCATGCGTCCCCGCCATTCTTTTCGGCCCACCCCTCACACGCTTCGTGGCCCCGTAGGAGCTTCGCCGAAGGTCCCAGTGGCACAATCCACATGCGCTCCCGCCACCCAATTCGGACCACCCCTCACACGTCTCGTGGCCCCATAGGAGCTCTGCTGACGGTCCAAGTGGCGCAGTCCGCACGTTTCCCCGCCATTCATATCGGCCCACTTCTCACACGCTTCGTGGCCCCATATGGGGTTCCGCCGAAGGTCCCAGTGGCACAGTCCGCATGCGTCCCCGCCACTCATTTCAGCCCACCCCTCACGCGTCTCGTGGCCCCACAGGAGCTCCGCCGAAGGTCCCAGTGGCACAGTCCGCATGCGTCCCCGCCATTCATGTCGGCCCACCCTCACATGTTTCGTGGCCCCGTAGGAGCTCCGCCAAGGTCCCAGTGGCACAAACGTGCGCCCCCGCCATTCATGTCGGCCCACCCCTCACACGTTTCGTGGCCCCACAGGAGCTCCGCTGAAGGTCCCAGTGGCACAGTCCGCATGCGTCCCCGCCATTCATTTCGGCCCACCCCTCACACGTTTCGTGGCCCCATAGGGGTTCCGCCGAAGATCCCCGTGGCACAGTCCGCATGCGTCCCCGCCATTAATTTCGGCCCACCCCTCACACGTTTCGCGGCCCCGTAGGAGCTCCGCCGAAGGTCCCAGTGGCACAGTCCGCATGCGTCCCCGCCACTCATGTCGGACCACCCCTCACACGTTTCGTGGCCCCATCGGGAACTCCACCGAAGGTCCCCGTCGCGCAGCCCGCATGCGTCCCCCTCACCCAGTACAGCGCTTCGTGGCCCCATATGGACTCCACCGAAGGTCCCCTTGGCGCAGTCCGCATGCGTCTCCCTCACCCAGTTTTCGGTAAGACCTGCTGGTTGCGAGCAGTCCGCAGCCAGACCTTCTCTCGGCCCCGTGGACTCTCGCCTTGGGCCGTCGCCTTTCCAGCGCGCTGCTCCCTTGGCCGACGTCGCCCAGGCGTGATCCTGGACCGCGGCCGCCACGAAGTGGAGAACGGCAAGAAGGAGGACGACGACTGGTGGCTGGAGCTTTACGCGCTGCTCTCGCGCGCCACGCGCCGCGAGGACCTCCTGCTCATGCGGGCGCCGCGCTTCGAGTTTTTCCTGGCACGGCCGCCGGAGGGCTTGCGGAAGCAGCTGGAGCAGTTTGCCGCGCGCGCGACGCGGCGCAGGGGGGAGGCGACGGCCCTCGCCAGGGAGTTGGGCTTCACCGAGTTCATCCGCGAGGCTTGATCTGAGGAGCGGCCCGCCCGAGCCTCGCCGTCTCTCGGCGGTCTGACGAATTGTTTGGCCTCGCGCCGCGGACGACGCGCGCGTCGCTGGGGCCCTCTCGGGGCGACCGGCGCGCGTCGCAGGAACTCCGCGCTGCGTTCTGCCCAGCGCCTCGCTCGCCCGTCGTCGCTCTGCCCAGCGGTGAGCGCCTTGCCGCTATCAGCAAGCCAGCTACCTCTCTTTGCTCCGCGCAGCAGACGACCCGCGCGCGTCGCCGGGACCCCTCCGGGGCGACCAGAGCGCGTCGCGAGGACTCCGCGCTGCGTTCTGCCCAGCGCCTCGCTCGCCCGTCGTCGCTCTGGACGGCGGCGCGAGCCTTGCCCGCTATCAGCAAGCCAGCTAGCTCTCTTTGCTCCGCGCGGCGGACGACCCGCGCGCGTCGCTGGGACCCCTCCAGGGCGGCCTGCGCGCGTCGCGGGGGCTCCGCGCTGCGCTGCGCCCGCAGCCATGGACTTTTGAGTGCGCGGGCGAAGAGGCAGTTGAAAAAGGGGAGGAAGCGGGCGCGATCCTCGCGGGGGGGCGCGCCGACATGCGCGTCGCGGCGCGTGGGCGATGCCGTCGGGGAGTCCCGTGGAAGCTCCTTGCGGCGGCCTCGCCCATCGTCACGGGTACTCAGAGGCAGTCATCCTCGAACTATTGACATTCGTATACAATTATACCATGCATTGTCATACTCGCACTCATGCGCGAGACTTCGCTCGCACGCAGATTCATTCACAGTCAGACGCACCCGCGCTCAGATTCACCCGCGGTCAGTCTCCCTACGTACTCAGATTAAACGTTTTCGTCCGCGTTGTGTACCACGCCACTCATTTCGGCACACCCCTAGCACGGTTCGTTGCCTCCTAGGGATCACCACCGAAAAAATGAACCACATATGCGGTATTCACACGTGCATCTGGTTGGGTTTTTCGCCAGGCATTTTTTCGACGAGGCGAGAGCCACATGCTGAAAAAAAAAACCATCCATCCGTGAAGCTCGTTCGCAAATTTTAAAGACGAATGTGCGTGGCGTTTCGGCGATATCAACATGTTAGAAACCACCCGCCTTCCATATGTGAAACTCGTGCAAACTTTTAAAACGAATGCGTGTGGCGCTGAGGCGCGAGCCATTTTTTGAAAACGGCCCGCCCTCCATCCGCGAAGCTGCTGCACATGTTCAGCTTCAGGGTCATACGTGGTGAGGAAGTCTCAGGCGAAACGCCGGGCCCGCCCTGCCGACACGTCTCGGGGTGCGACAGGGAGGAGTTGTTTAGAAAGAACAGGGATGGAGGAGGAGGAGGAGGAGGAGGAGGAGGAGGAGGAGGAGGAGGAGGAGGAGGGAGGAGGAGGAGGGAGGAACACACGCTATAGGATGATGGTGGGGAGGAGGAAAAGCCGGACGGGGGGGGAGGAGAGGAGGAGGAGGAGGAAGAGGAGGAGAGCCAGAGCAGGAGGAGGAGGAGGAGAAGGAAAGGAGGGGGAGGAGGAGAGGAGGAGGAGGAGGGAGGAAGGAGGAGGAGGGGGGAGGAGGGAGGAGGAGGAGGAGGAGGAGGAGGAGGAGGAGGAGGAAGAGTTCGAGGAGGAGGGTGGAGGAAGACGAGCCGTAGGAGAGTGGGCACGCGTAGGGCTGCGGACCTCGCGCGCGCCGGCGGCCATAGTGGCAGCGGCGGCGCGCGCGCCCCGCGGCGCAGTGCGACCTTCGCTCGGCCCTGACCGAGTCCCGGGTCCGGCGGGACGACTTTATCGCCCGGTGCAGCGAGCACCTCGAGGATCCATCCTTGTCTAACTATGCCGTCCATGTGTTCGTTCCCCTACTCCCAAGACGCTGAAATAAGGACCACTGTGGGTTCAAGAGGGGCTTCTGTTTTCGGGGCGTCCCACAGATCCTGGGCAGGAAAGCGATTCCGTATTCCTCAGGCAACCCAAATGGGGGTCCAGATAAACAACGGTGGTGCTTTGGGCGCTTGGATCTGAATGACTCGCTGAGACGACGCATTCGCATGATGTGGTTGTCAGCAATATTCGCACCACGAACTTTTCTTCTAGACGCTGCGCGTAACGCCACCAGCCAATCCAGAAACGATGCCAAGCATTCGGTGGAACAAAGGGCTGGGTAAGACATCATACCCCAAGAGGGCGAGGATGGAGGCAACGGAGGAGGATCAGGAGGAGGCGAGGAGGAGAAGGAGGAGGAGGAGGAGGAGGAGGGGTAGAGAGAGGGGGAAGAGGGAGGAGGAAGGAGACAGACATAGGCGGAGGATGAGGAGGAGGAGGAGGAGGAAGACGGCGAGCAGAAAGGCCAGAGACCTTTTGGATGCCTCTCGGAGTCTCTTCGGATGTCTTTCGAAAGCTCCTTGGAGTCCTCGTGAGACGTCTCGGGGGGTTCCTGACAGTCCCAGGGGCCTCTTTTGGCGTCTTGGGTGCCTGTGGGGGGCCTCTTGGGGCGTCTTGGGGTCTCATGGGAGCCTCTTCGGGGCATCTTGGGGACATCTTGGGGGCCTCTTGGGGCCTCCTGGGCACCTCTTGGGGGAGTGTTGGGGCAGCTTCGGGAGCCTCTGGGGCCATCTTGGGGCCATCTTGGAGGAGATCGATCAAAGAAAGGGAGCTCCTGAATTAGTTCCGCTCCCCCCCCAGGAGGCAAAAACGTTGCTAACAGTTGTGTGTGTGTGTATCAATGATGTTGGCTTCTTCGCCGAGGCCATCTTGGGCGCTGCAACCCCTTGCGCAACCTCCCGTCCAGGTCCAGGGGAAGGGGATAAGGGGAGGGGTAAACCCTTCCCCGAGGAGGAAGAAGGGGGGCTGGGTGAAGAAACGCCTGAAACACTCACGCCCAGAGAGCTGGTGGGATTGGCGAGGTCTTGACGCTTCGTGCGAATTCGATGTGTCAAGGACCGCCAATTCGTTCCGAGCGGGTTTCCGATTCAACTATCGGAGTTGGAAGCCGCTCTCAGGCACCCCACGCCCCCTGCTCGCAGGCTTTGTAGGCGATCAGGTCGGATATGGACGGTCACGCCGCACTCGGCCAGCACAGCAGAGCAATGCATCCCGCCAGCTGCAACACATTACAAAACACATTGGTGGCTGTCGTGGGTTTTGGGTATGCACTATGTTCAGGGGTGCAGTCTGTTTAGTTTTTTTGTGCGCAGCGCGCAGATTGCGATTGTTATAGTACAATACAACTCTCTGGTACACTACATGTGCAATACATCTGCCCGTCTGCAATACACTGGCAATGCGTCGTCAGTTCGTATGCGACTGCAATGCGCGTTCTGTACTAGACAGAGCACGTCATGCCAAGCGCCCCAACTCTTGATGCGAATACTGTCGCCGATGGGCCGCCGAGACGCCTGTCTGCCGTCTGCTTCATTTCTTCACTTGCCCTGAAGCCGTTTGCAGGCACACGTTGCAACGAACGCAGGATGGGCGCAATCTTTTGTAGGACGGGCCCGTCAGACACTTCCGTGCCAGCTAGCGATTTGCCACCACCCCCTTTCATCTGGACCCCCTTCTGAGTTGCCCAGATGCTTTCGTTGCCGAGGCTCGCCGTGGTCGGAGAGACAAACTTCCGTTCCTCAGCCAGCGCCCCGTGTGGCAGCATGCGAGTTGTACAGTCACACATTTGGAGCACGGGCCGCCTCGGTGCTCGGAGCCACTCGGGCCGCCCGCCCCGGGAGTTGCCCCAGACCTCCGGCGTCTTGAGTTGCGCCGCGCGCGCGGACCCTCTGGAGCGCGCGACCCCCTTGCCCACGGGACCCGCCCTCGCCACCCGGAGCGCGTCAGGGGCCCGAGGTCGGCCACGTCTCCAGAGTTGGAGGCTCGCTCGCGGGAAGGAATCCACTGGGGGTGAATACGCGTGCACTCTCGGGTGCCGCGCGGGGCCCCTCCAGGGCCGTTTTCCTGCATGCTTGCGCTCCCCACAGGATCCCTCCTCCTCTAGCGAATGCCCAACACAGGGGCCGAGACACCTCCGCCCCGGACTGCTGCAAGGCACTGCGGCTCTGGGCCCGATCCTGGACCCTCGACCCCGGACACCTTTCTTCTAGATTTGCCTGCGGGCACGAGGAAGATCGCGCTTCGCACGGCGGGGTCTGGGCCCGAGAGAGCTGCTCTTTCTCCAGGAAAGCGGCGCCAGGGCGCTTAGTCGCGCATCGTGGGGCGCAACGCGCAAAGTCAGGCGACCTCATTGGGATGCGAATTGGGAAGGGATCTTCCAATCAATGCGATGAACTATACGCCAAATCCTCTCGGCCGGGGCGCGGTTCGAGATTCGGCGCGCCCTTGGAGTTACCCGCTCCTGTTTGCCTGGCTCAAGTCTCGCGTTGTATATGTCTGTTGCGCCCTCACAGGTGGGCCATCGCGTCTCGGGATGCTTCGGGGGGCAACGGCTGTTATCGAATAGGGCCGCGGGTGGGGGTGGCCCAGGCCCTCCCGGTGATGGGTTTATACATTATCTAGAGAGTGGTTCTTGCAGCTTGCATACTGACCCCAGCGAACTGTCCGCGCCCATCCTCTCCAGCTGCTGAACGGAAGACATCTTGATTCTTTACAGCGCGCGGGCGCCGTCGCGCATCAGAGTTGGATTCCGCTGGTGGCCGTTCTCTCCTTGTTCAGCCTCACAGCGAAACTTCATCTCACGCCCTTTGGGAAATTCTCCCAGGCAGGGTTTCGTATCTCAGCGAATGTTGAGCAAAGCAGGGTAATAGAGTAAATAATGTTTCCGCTCGCTGGTCAGACTCCTCAGGAGCACCTGCTCACCAGTTGCACCTGATCCTGCGCGATTGGCTTATTCGGAACTTCGGGGGCAGGGTAGGTACAATCGATGCCCGCGGCGAGAGAGGTGCGGCTGAGCGCCGCCTTGCCGCAGAAGGTGTGCCGCCTGCTCAGTCGGCCAGCCCTCGAGGAAGAGGGCATTCTTGGCGAGGAAGAGCGACCAGCAGCCGCACCTCGAACGAAGCCTCGGAGACGGGTCCTGAGGTTGTTCGCTGTTTTCTGGCTCACGGGGCACTCCCCGGGCGCCACTGCTGTCAGATCTTGATTCCAGATGGAGATCTGGTCCTGGGGGAAAGCCTCCGGGTCTAGGACCCGTTTCCCTCACATGTTCGTTTTCTTTCATGCCACAAGAGGGTGGTCAGATCCAGGGCTGTGTGTGAATATCGTTGCTGTGGCCGCGCATGGGATCTCCCAGATTGGATGGCCCCCTCCTCTCGGCTCAGCACGTTCCCCGGTCCCACCATCGCTCTGGCACGCGTGCCTCGGGCCATGGTGCATTAACTGCCCTCTTCATGGCCTTCCTTTTGAAATGCAACTCCTGGGAGGTTGCAGTCAGCATCGGCGCTGGAATATCAGTGGTCGAGAATCGGCCTCATCTGGCTTCTTCCTGGGCTCAATCCGGCCTGGTCTGGTCGGTCTTTGGAAGTAAGTATATTTGGATCCGCAGATCCCAATTTACTACTTTAGCTGGCTTCATACTTTAAGAAAGAGCGCGTTCTGTGGTCGCTTGGAGGGGGGGACTTCGAACCAGACACCCCCCCCTGGGTGGAAGGGGGGGGGGGTCGAACCCCACCTCCCTTCCCGTGACGGAGGGGGGGGGTTCGAGCTCCCCCCCTCCGCTCTCCCTCTTCTCGGGCCTGCGCCGGCGTCGGCGCCGGCGCCTGCGGCGGCTGGCGGCGGCGGCTAGGAGCGTCAACGAGGACGACGGCGATGACGACGACGACGACGCTCCGCCAACGTGCCTGGGTTTTGGGCCAGAGTTCTAATGGATGCTTCCTGGGTTCTCGTCGGAGGGCTCTCTCGGGGGCCTCTGAAGGGCATTTGTGAAGCTTCATGGGTGCCTCTTGGGCGTTTTTTCGGGCCTTTCTGAGGCGGTGGTGGTGGTGGTGGTGGGCTGTGGTGGTGGTGGTGGTTGTGGCGGTGGAAGTGGTGGTGGTGGTGGTGGTGGTGTGGTGGTTGGTGGTGGTGGTGTTGGTGGTGGTGGTTATTGTGGTGGTTGTGGTGGCAGGCTGTGAAGGTGGTGGTGGAGGTGGTGGGTTGAGGTGGTGGTGTGGTGGGTTCTGGTGGTGGTGCTAGTTTTGGTAGTGGTGGTTATTGGTGGTGGCGGTGGTGGTGTGGTGACTTGTCGTGGTGGTTGTGGTGGTGGTGGTGGTGGTGGTGGGTGTTGGTCGTGGTGGTGGTGGTGGTGGTGGTGGTGTAGTGGTTTGTGGTCATGGTGGTGGTGGTGGTGTGGTGGTTTGTTCTTGTGGTGGTGGTGGTGGTGGTGGTGGTGGTGGTTGTGGTGGTGTGATGGTTTGTGGTGGTGGTGGTGGTTTGTGGTGCTGGTGGTGGTGGGGTGTGGTGGTGGTGGTGGTGGTGGCAGTGGTGGTGGTTGTGGTGGTGGTGGTGTTTTTTGGTCGTGGTGGTGGTGGGTTGTGGTGGTGGTGCTGGTGGTGGTGATGGCGGTTGTGGTTGTAGTGTGGTGACTTGTGGTGCTGGTGGTGGTGTCGGCAGTATGTTGTTCCGGTAGTGAGGTGGTGGTCCCGGCGGTCGTGGTGGTGGTGGTGTTGGTAGTGGTGGGCTGTGGTGTTGCTTGTGGTGTCGGTGGTTGTGTGGCGGCTTGTGGTGATTATGAAATGGTGATTTGTGCTGGTGGTGGTGGTGGTGGGTTGTGCTGCTGCTGCTGGTGGCGGTGGTTGTGGCCGTCGCGGCGGTGGTGGTGTGGAAGAGTATGGTGGTGGTGTAGTGGTGGTGGTTGTTGTGGTGGTGGTGGGTTGTTGTGGTGGTGGTGGTGGCTGTGGTGGTGGTGGTTGTGTGCTGGTTTGTGGTGGTCGTAGTGGGTTGAGGTGATGGTGGTGTTGGTGGTCGAGGTGGTGGCGGTGGTGGCGGTGGTGGTGGGCTGTGGTGTTGGTGATGGTGGTGGTGCTGCTGGTGGTGGTGGTGCTGCTGGTGGTTGTGGGTGGTGGGTGGTGGTGGTGGTGGTTGTGGTGTTGATGGTGGTGGCTGTGGTGTGGTGGGTTGTGGCTGTGGTGGTGGTGATTGTGTGCTGGTTTGAGGTGGTGGTGGCGGCGGTGGTGATCGTGGTGGTGGTGTGGTTGTTTGTGGTGGTGGTTGTGGTGATGGTGGTGGGTTGTGGTGTTTTGTGGTGGTGGTGATGGTGGCTTTTTTGGTGTTAGTAGTGTTGCAGTGGTTTGTGGCGATGGTGGTGGTGGTGGTTTTGGTGGTGTTGGTGTGGTGGTTTGTGGTGGTGATGGTGGGGGTGTGACCTTCGGATCTTCCCGCCACCGTGTTTTGACTTTGGGTCGAAGTTCGAATGGATGCATCTTGAGATCTCGTCAGAGGGGTCTCGGGGGCGTCTGAGGAGCAGTTGTGAAGCTTCCTGGACCTTCCTAAGGTCTTCTCGGTGGCCTGTGGGGGGGCGAGGGCTCGATATGGCGCTTTGTGTTTCTCCTCTGCGGCCCTTGGCCCTCTCTGGTCATCGTTGCTGCGTCCTTGCCGTCGGCGCTGCTGGCCGCTGACCGCCGCCAGCGCTGGCGCCGGCACCGGGGGGGGGGGCTTGGACCCCCCCTCATCTCCTCCCTGAGCCCTCTCTGGTCATCTTTGCTGCGTCCCCGCCGTCGGCGCTGCTGGTCGCCGCCAGCGCCGGCGCCGGCGGCGGGGGGGGGGCTCGGGAGGAGGGGGTTTAGGGGGGAGGGGAGCCCTCCTGGTTCTGATCGACGGCGCCGAGTGTTGGGGGGGGGCCCACCCCCCGGTTCGAAACGCGCCGCCGAATGTTCCCAAGGCAAGCGCCCGTGAAACGCGCGCGCTCTCTCTCTCTCTCTCTCTTTTTTTTTTTTTTTTTTTTTTTTTTTTTCTCTCTCTCTCTCTCTCTCTCTACGTTAAGAGTTGAGTGGTTTTCCCTCGTCCCTCCTCTTCAGGGGGCGGGCGGAAACCCAATCTATTATCACCGCCTTCCTATTTCATGGTTCTTCTTTCTTTCTCCGATCGACGGGTAACTGCCCCCCAATATGGGGCTTCAATGGCCAGCGATCGTGCTTACGAGGACCCCTCAGGAGTACTGCCCCCTCGCCATTCCACCGCACACGCGTCTTGGTGTACTGCCACCCGGTCGGTTCCCGAGCCGAAGGTTTCTCACCTCGGGGTGGCGCGCCGCGCGCGCGCGCAGCGAGGAGCGGAGGCGCTGCAGGCAGGCGCTGCTGGCCCGCGTCGAGGCCGCGCACGCCCCCCCCATCGGTCGACGGCGGCGTCTGCGCGCGGCGGCGGGCCGCCGCGCGGCGCCGCCGCGCGGCGTGGCGCGGCGAACGCGACGGCTTCTGCGGCGACGGCCGCGACGACGCGGCCAGCGACGGCGGCACGCGGCGGCGAGGGGCGCGAGTCTGGCAGGACGTGTGCGCGCCAGGGAGGCTCTGTGGGAGCAACGGGTTTGAGCTGGGCAGGGCGTGGGCCGGATCTTTTCGAGGACGCCCTCCTACGCCTGGAGGAAGTCGAGGCGGCCCTGTTGTCGCCATCTCCAGCTCGGGGGCCCGCAGCGTGCCTCGGGACAGTCAAAGACAGCTGGGATGAAAGACCGGCGACAATACTGTCGGGATGGAAAACTGCCCGTGGGGAAGGGGTCGAGAGGTCCGGGGGCCCACCACGCAGTATGAGGGAGGAGGACCGACACCACGATGCCTCTACGAGCTAGAGGTCGGAGATGTCTCGAGCAGGACTCCGCAATACAGGGGACCACACCACCAGGAGTACCCTTCCCACTTGGCTTCTCGCGATGGTGTTGGTGGTGTTGGTGGTGGTGGTGGTGGTGGTGGTGGTGGTGGTGGTTGTGGTGGTGGTTGTGGTGGTGGTGGTGGTGGTGGTGGGGGTGGGGGTGGGGGTGGGGGTGGTGGTGGTGGTGGTGGTGGTGGTGGTGGTGGTGGTGGTGGGGGGGGGCGTCGCGTTTCTCTTCTCTGGCGCGTCGCATATCGAACAAGGCGAAGGTCTGGGGACCCGCTACGAGGTCCCCAGAAGACCCGCCCGACTTCCTCATGGGCCTGCTTTTCAGCCGCTGTTCAGGAGGGATAAACACACAGAAACACAAATATTCGCCGACTTCAGGAATATATCAGGAAGATCTGGGAGATGGAGGGGAGGCCGAAAATCCAGAAACTATTGAAAAATGGTGGTATCCTGGGATTCGCGTCTATTTCTTTGTGTCTCCCTGGGCCCGTTCCCTTTTCGGCGGCATCCTCGGGGGGGAAGTGAGAAGGAGAAGGCCTGCTCAGAAGGCCAGAAGCCCCCCAGCCTTCCGAGAAGTTGTTTGAGCCTTCCCCAAAGACATAGACAATGTTTCACAAGGCCTGAGGCCTTCTGAGAAGCCCCGCCGTTTTCTCAGAAGACATCCTCCTTCTCACTTCTCCCCCTTTCTCGACGCCGATTTGAAGGGACAAGTAAGACACAAGTTCGTCCGAACTCTCAGAGGAGGAGCAGGTACCCACACCACTACCCTGGCCTCGTTTTCGCCTTTCTAGGCCTCGTGGGAGGCCCTCGTCGCCACCGCCGGATTCGCCTGAAAATTCTGGTCAAGACGCACCACGGGCGAGGTATGGGGAGTAGCCGTATCGGTACCTTTTTGGTTTCCCCAGCTTTGATCGGAAACGTAAGACTCGAGTTCACTGGAACTCTGGTTATCTGGCGCTTTTTGACGGGCCCGTCTTGGATGTTGTCGGTCCAGTTTTCGTGGGATGTTTGCAGCGGGAGTTCGCGCCAAATTTCAGATTGGGTCTCGTCATTTTCCTGACGAGTCTTACGTCTCCCCGATTTTTTGAGGGGGGCCGACTCGCCTCGGCCAAGAGCTTCTTGCACTAGCTTGAAGGCAGCGCAGAGATGGATCAAGGCGCGTGGACTAGCCACGGGCCCCGCTTCCATACAGCAGGTCGACGCGCTCCGTCTCCAGATTAGGCGGCACTGCTGCCCTCGTGTTTTTGCGGGGGTGCCTTCCCCGACTCTTAGCTCTGGCGCCCACGCGCCAGATCCGCGGATCCGCAACCCAGGTTGGCGTGTACCCGACGCTGCGGCCCGGCAGCTGCCACTGTCCCCGCCGATGAAGCCGGCTGCGCCAGCGCGTTCAGGTCAGAAGGCTTCTGCATTTGAGGGCCCCCTCCTTCCTCCTCAGCGGCCGCCCTGTCCGTCTCGTTCCCCTCTCCTGCATGTTGGGCAAATCGCTTCTCGGTGGCCCCGGTTAGCTTTATCGCTGGTGCAGCCATTCTGCGTCGCCGCCGACGACAAAGTGTACCCGACGCTTCGTCTGGCCAACGCGTTGGAGGTCTGAGTTCGGAGGGACAGCGCACCGAGGCAGCGTCGGGGCACTGGGTGCCTGGGGCCGCGTCAGGCCCTGGATGGGGGAGCGAGAGGGGGTCTGGGAGCCTCACCCCCTCGACGGGGGGCTGGCTCGGCTCACGGCCAACAGACGCCGCGTGGATCGTCTTTGCTCAGCACGTTGGACGTGTGCTAGCCCAGAATTGGTGTGTGTGTGTGTGTGTGCGTTGTGTGTTGTGTGTGTGTTGTGTATATTGTGTATGTTGTGAATGCTGTGTGTTGCGTGTGTGATGTGTGTGTGTGTGTTTGTGTGTGTGTGTTGTGTGCATGCGTGCGCGCGTGCGTGCTTGCGCGCGGGCGCGCGTTTGTGCGTGTGTGTGTGTTGGTGTATGCGTGTGCATGTATGTGTGTGTGCGCGCGTGTGTGTGTGTGTGTTTTGTGCGTGTGTCTGTTTACGCCTTTCAGTTTCGCCAAAACAGTCGGACCGAGGTATAATATTGAGGTCGGTTCGGGGATGGTTCCCACCACAAGTCCTCCATGATTGTCGTATGTTTTTTGTGCATCCTGGGGAGGGTACCCTCGGATGTTGTGTCTGTTTTGGCCGGCGGAGGGTCTCATGTTCTTGAGGGATGTTCTTCTGGCCTGGGTCCGACTGTGGCACGCACCTTGTGTCGGCCTTCATTACAGTGCCTTCGTCGGTTTGGAGACACGCAGGTCCTATGGAGTCGTGGGAGGAGGCCCGCGCGCAGAGCCCGCGACTGGGGCCGCGCCAGGCCCTCGAGGAGGAGCGCGACGGCCTGCTGGCGCTGTCGGAGCGGCAGGCAGCGCCCAAGAGGGGGGCGTGCGAGGGGGGATCGGGCGTAAGGGTAGAACGGTTCGGGTTCGAGGCTCGAGGTTGTTGGACGCTTTCGTCGGTTCTCGGCGGTTTTCCAGCCTCGGGGTGTTTTGCAGCAGCTGCGCCTGGCCGAGGGCTTTCCTGAGGTGTCTTGATCGTCCCGAACGGGCGCCGGGATCCAAGTTACGACCCGGGAGCCAGACGACGAGGATCACTGGGGGGGATCAGCTCAGGGGGGATGCAACGACTCAGGTCCGTGCGGTTTTGCTATCGGGGGCTCATCGTCGATCTATCGGCGATGTATCGCCGATTCCAGTGTGCTGTTCCACCCGAGCAGGTCCCCCCTTGACGATACACTTCAGGTAAGGAGCCATTGTGGTGTTGACTGCATGGCCAGAGTCATACAGTTTTGCAGATTCCGTGGTCTCTTGTTATTCAATCGCTTCGCTCACTCCGCCGGCCCGTATTGCATGATCGCTACTGCTTCGGCGCGGGCTCGGGACCATTTCGGCGCCGCCGGAAGGAGGAAGATAAGGATGGGGAGGGGGAGGGGAGGAGGAGAAGAGGATGAGAAGGAACGGAGGAGGATGAAGATAAATATGAGAATGAGGAGGAGGAGGAAGAGAAAAGGGCGGAGGAAGCCTCTCGATGGCATCTTGCGGCGCTCTTGGGGCCAAACAGGCCCGTCGTCCAGATGCTTCTTTGGGAGGCCCTGGGGTCTGTTGAGAGGCCGTCCGGGGGCGCCTGGGAGACATTTTTGAAGCCTTGTAGGGCCTCTTTTGAGCCTCCTGTGAGCCTCCTGGGGTGTCTTGGGGGCCTCTTGGCGGCATCTTGGGCCATCTTGGGGGCCTCTCGGGGCCTCCTGGGGCCCTCTTGGGGCGGAAGGCTTGAGGTTTCGGTTCGTGGTCCCCATCTTGGGCCCCTCTTGGGGCCGTCTTGGGGCTCTCTTGGGCCGTCTTGGGCGTCTCTTGGGCCTTCTCGGGGCCCGTTTGGGCTCTCTGGGGGCCTTCTTGGGGGCCTCTTGAGCCGTCTTCGTGCGCTCTTGGGGGCAAGGCCAATATCCTTCCGAAACCATGGTAAAATTTATGATTTTGGCCTCTCGTGGCGCTCTTGTGAGGCCTCTTGGAGGCCACTTGGAGCGTCTTGGCGGCTTCTTGGGCCGTCTTGGGATCATCTTCGGCGTCTTGGAGCGTCCTTTGGGCTTCTCGGGGGCCTCTCGGGCAGTCTGAGAGGCCTCTTGGGGCCCTCTTGGCGCGCTCTGGGGGGCCTGAGAGGCCGTACCCAGGAGGAAAACCATCTCTGAGTAGACCTGCCCGCGTTGCGGTCGGGGTACTTTTCGCCGGGGGACCCCCAGGGGCCGCCCCGCGCGCCCGAACTGGAAGAATTGTGAACCAGTTACCGGAGATCTTAGCACGCCTCTGGCCCGTTGGGCCGGCGAATTCTTCTCTTCTCTTCTGGGAACGCACCTCCTTGCCCACGCTCGTCCGCGAAAACCTCGGGCCATCGGGCCATGATGAGCTACCCGCCCTCTTCCTGGTTCCCCTTTGTGGCGCACCCGAGGGCAGGGGTGCTGGCTCAGGGCTGGCCGAGGTGGGAGCTTCTAAAGTCATATTATCTGAGACAGTTTAATCGGATAGAATACCACGTAACGCAATACAATATGATTTCGTTCAGCAAACATGATTCATCATACATCATAACATCATATAACATGGCACGAGTCGATTTAATAAGTTTGGGTACGATCAAGCATAGGACATATGTTATGGCATTGTATGTACACATCTATCATGATATACTTGCTACATAACATATTACCATACAGTATATCTCATTCAATTCGACTGTAATGCATGACGATATAATATCGTATACAGAACTGGGAGGCATCATAGTATTACTTGATATGCTACACTCTGTTGTCGTGTAAGGAATTCCAGAAGTATTTCATATCCTAGAACGCAACATGCTATAGTATAGTATGCCGTAGGTGACTAGTATACAAGTGTGTACATATGTGTATAATACATATCCATAAACGGGAGCATACGATAATAAAGTGAATCGGCGTATAAAGTAGTAAAGCATAGTATAGTATCATATCGTGTAATAATATAGTAGAATGTAATGTGGCAGATTATGGTACAACATAGTATTGTCCAATATCGTGTGATATCATTGGCGTTGCCGCGCGATTCCGCCACCGGGCTCGGGTGGGTTCCCAAAGGGGAGGGGTGTTGGAGTGGCGGCCGGGCGCCAACGGGGGGAGTGTCCACTGAACGTCCCTTCCCCAGCAAGTATTTGGGTGCACATGATGCCTGGAAGGCCAACCACGCAGTGACCTGTTGATAAAACAAATGAACGCAGCTTGGGCTCGATGCGTGAGGGGGGCTTTAATTTCGCAAGGAGCGGTGGGGCCCGACACACACCGTTGCAAGCGCGGTGGCGGATCAGATAACAAATTACAATCTGATATCGTATGATGTAATGAATGGTCATACCATGTAGATGCAATGCTACATTAATATATATACAGATATATACAATTCAATACACTATGATACTAGGGTTATACGGTACTCTACCATAGTATGTGTAAAACCTAATATCGTACAACCTGTAAGCCTCATGTATATATTGCCATGCATCTAATCTAATACGGTATCAGTTATATGACATACTATGATATAGTACAGATGGTACACTACAGTTTCAAAACCTGTATGAATCACACTTTATATAGTAGAGCATGTTGTATCCTATGGCGTAATACAGTATAATGGAACACCACAGCCTGCTGGCGCATGTAACTCCAGTGCCCCAAGTGATCCATAATATCTTTAGAAGGCCGCCGAAGTTGACACACTAGGGACTGGACAGCAGGGTGCTCGTCGGAGTCCACTGCACCCCAGTGCCCGATCAGAGCGCGCGACTGCGCGACAAAGAAATCGACCGCCTGCTGCGCCGAGGGAGGAGCAGGTCTGGTATCGATGGCAAGCGGGTCGTGCCACTCGCACCTCGGCCTCCTGTCTCCTCGTGCCCAGGACGGGTAAACACAAATCTGGGTCGAGTTGCGCAGCTCGACCTCACTGAGATTGGCCCGCAACTCGTAGGCTGAATATAACCTGCAGAAGCAGCCTCCAGATACCCAGAGCCCACTTGCTCCCGAATATGATCCAGAAGCTCCAGAGTACACGTCCAGGGAGGATGCCTCGAAGTAGGGCCAACGGCAGGGTCGACTGGGATCCTCAGGGGCTCGCGAAACCTCAGGGCGCGGAGGACAGGTGGGTGAGGGACAGTAGCGCCACCCCCTGCAATGCCCACGTCCTTGACGCACTCGCTCAAACCACCCGAGACCAGAAAATAATCGCAGCGCTTGGTGCCCTTAGGCCCATTGCAGGACCCCCGATCCCCAAGAGCACGCGCCAGGTTGTCTCGAAGAAGCCCTGGAACCCAATGCTCGTGGAGGACCTCAGGGGCCATGTTGAAGTCACCTCCTATGACAAGCGGCATGCCCGACTCGTTCAGGAACGAGGCCGCGCTGGCGAGGATAGCAACATTCGAGTCACTCATCTGCTGGAATCGTGCAAGTAAATACTGGTAACGATGAAAGGTGGCTGGACCAGCCTCTGCACCTGGTCAGCAACGCACCTGAAAGGAGAGACATGAGAAGTGTCCAGGAAAGGGTGGACTCCGAGCGCTATCGAACGGCCACGGCGACACCCGCCGAAGTTCCACCCTCAACCCCAGAACAGGCAGGGTCACGCAATAGGACCTGGTCGATTTCTTCCAAAGTTCGGAGTTTATGTTCCTTGGGTACACGCGTTGTGAGCTCTTGTTTGGGTCAACCGCTTACGTGCCGCCCCCCACCCCCGATCCATTGAACGTCTCGATAATAAGCCCAAAATCATTACCAAGCGCCTGCTCGGAGGAGGGAGGGGAGGACGACGCTGGGCTGATTAGGACGTCCATGATCGACATCCTGTGGGTACAGAAGTGAAGCTGGAGCGGCTGGATCAGCGTGGGCATGCGCCACGAGCGGCTCGATGGGAGGACAAGCGCCATCCCTACAGGCGTGATTGCTGCTACTTGCGAAACCTGTATGCGACGGCCTCGAGCATCTCGGGCTGCCTTTTCTTTTCCCCAGGGGAGGACGAGGCACCACACAGGATGTCGTAGAGGTCGTCGTCAGACTTGATTGCGATTGCTGCCAGCACTAAATCCAAAACCTGCTCCTGGCGATGACGACTTGCCCACCTCCTCCGACTCGCGAACAACTTCCTGTCCTTTTTTCAGGGCAGCCTGCATAGCCTCCATCTTCCCCTTGAGCACTTCGAGGCTCTGCTCCTCTGCGGCAGATGCAGCGTCCTTGAGGAATGCGTCTATCGCGGCGAAAGTGCCACTGAACGTCGAGAAGTCGAGGCTGATGCGGGCCGTCTGTCCTCATTCAGGAGGGGGAGCATTTTTGACCGATAGATCACGATATTTGGCACGCAGCTGCTCAATCTCCGTATTGATCTGAGCCGATTTGACCACCATTTCTTCACCGCGCTTCTTGTGATGCTCGATGTTCCCGGTGATCCGAACCAGCTCCTTCTCCTTAGAAAGCAATTGCTCATGCGCGACTGTGGCCTGTACACCATCATCTTGTTTGTCGAGAGCCGCTTGCTTGACCGCCGACAATGAAGCTGACAAGGCCGACAGAATATCATCTGCTCCTGCAAGACTTCCGCACTTCGGACGTGCTTGGTGAGGGCCTCCAGGTAAACATGCGTGGTGCCTTGGACGGAGGGCGACGGGGACCCACTATCCATAGCCTTTGCCAGCGCCCTTGCCTGAACCGCGGCTTATTCCCATGGCAGCCACAAGACGAGCACGGCAAGAGAAGAGATTGCGAGCCATTCCCCGCCATGGCGACAACTGCGGGAGGACCGTGGCTGAGAAAGCGCGTGCGGGCACACGCCGAAAGGAGGGAAGCAGAAATTGATTGAGCCACAGTGGCTGCGGAGATAAACTAGAGCCAACTTGAAAAAACAACAAGTGGCATCCATTGTTCACGTTCGCCCACCCGCCTCCGTTCCCTCCTGTCCCGGGATTTTGACTTGTCGTGCCACAGGGTGCGTTTCCGTTACCCCCGTCCTTCGTTGTCCGTTCTTTGCGTTTTCTTTTTCCTTCTCTCTCTCTCTTGTTCTTGGTTCTCCTCCGTCGCCCGTCCCGCGTATTTATCCTTCCTATCTTCCTCCCTCCTTCCCACTGCGTCATTCTCCATTCTCCGTCTTCCTCGTCTCTACTTCATGCCTTCCCTTCTCCGCCTCCCTCATGCGTTTCCGCATGCCCCGTCCCTCATCCCAATCTCGTCTTCATTCCTTTCTCCCTCCGCAGCCCTCATCCAGCATCCTGCCACACTGAGTGGTAGGAGGCCCAGCCTGGAAAAACAACTCCCTCAAAGTCAATTTTTTCAGGCCGACCCGTTCGACATTTCGAGCCCAGATTCCAAGAGCCCCGGGGAGGCGCGCCCAAGAACTCCCAAGAGACCTCCAGGAGACCACTCCAAAAACACGAGGAGAACTCACCCCCAGCAACCACCAAGAGCCTTCCAAGAACGTCCCTCAAAGGTATCCAATGAGTCTCCCAGCATGGTTTTCCCAGGCTGTTAGGAGTTCTTAGGCGCCCCCCTAGGCTACTCTGGGTCCTCTACGTGACGTGCGACCCATCCTCATCCAGTCTGGCAAGTTGATTTGGACTGCGCTAAGATCTAAGCGCGCGCGTCGTTCTAGTATTGCTGTCAACGTTTACATGTGTATATATATAGAGAGAGAGGAAACAAACAAACAAAGAGAGAAAAGGATAACACAAACAAGCACTGAGAAAGAGGGGGGCACGTATATTCGTGCGGCGGGCGATAATATCATTCCTCTAAGACGAGCTTGCCTTCTCAAGGCAGGGCGTGTGCTGGCACGCGGATCCATCTCACTTGTGGGGGGCGGGAATACACCAGCAACGCGTCGCCCCCGAAGACGGACCCCCCAGGCGGTGGTGGTGGTGGGAAGACCCCCGCCTCGCACCGTCGCCCCTGCCTCGCCGACAGGGGGCCGAAGGGCCCCCAGCCTGCTCTGGCGCGTGCTGTTTCGCCATCGAGGGCCTACGCATCGTTAGGTCGGGCACGTCCTCCTACGGGCGGATTTGGGGCGACAAGTGAAAGATAGCCAAAATTATTCAAGAAAAATCACGCAGAGTAGAAAACATCGCCCCCCGAGCATGTTTGGAATATTCCTTCCGTAGAGGGACATGCCCGACTTAGACGTATCACCCATTCATCGGCGACGCGTTGCCGATCTCAGGCCGCTGTTCCCCCCCCCCTCTGAGCCAGTCACCCCCTTTCGTCCCTCCTCAGCGGGGGATGGGCGCGGCGGTGTGGCGCGCCAGGGGGCCCCGCGGAAGACCGCCAAAAGACCGCAGGTTGCCGCGAAGGATCGCCGGTCTCCGGACACGGACGCTAGGCAGCCCGAGGGTTGGGTACATCTCTCCAGGGTATTGGAGGGGCCTTACGGCCCGTTCCGCCGACATTGACTGGGGGGTGAGGAGGGAGGCCCGAAGAAGGCCGCGGACACTTGGAGGTTTGATGGTGTCTCTTGGGAGGCCTATCGGGGACCTCTCGGAAGCATCTTTTACGTCTCTTGGGATCTCCTTGGGGCGTGCTGGCGGTCCAGGATTGGATAAGTATCTCCAGAGTGTTCTGGGGCGCTCTCAGGGCGTCCCCGAAGCCCGCCATTTCGATTTCTGATTTCCCACCGTCTCGGAGGACACCAACTTTACACCCACGCCGGCCTTGGCCAGGCCGAACCTGGGCCCAGGATAGGTGTATATGCTTTCCTGCCCAAGCCAAGATGCCTTAAACGCCGATCCTGGGCCCAGGATGGGCCTGGCCAGGATCGGTGTAGGCGCACAACTGAGCGACTAAAGAAAACACTAGCGCGTAAGCTGCCTGCGTAAGATAGCGCGTAAGCGCCTCTTCCAATGTAGCGTTCCGTGGCGGCGGCCCGCGTAAGCCACCGCGTAAATTTGCCATGTCACACAGCGGAGCCGTTTCCTCTCGTTGTTCGGTTGGTTTCCTCCCGTCATCCGAGTTAATATGGAAGTGGAAGATCTTGAACGGGAAGCTAGATTGTTGGCCGTGCTCCTGATGTATCATGTATGTAGGTAGGGTCCGAACCTTCGGGCCCAGTTGATGACGACACGCGCCAGCAAACACAAGTTTAACAAGGGTCCGAGGCCTAGGATTAAGATCCAGAGAGGCGTGCAGGCTGCTCGAGCCATCGTGGCGCAGCCTGTCGAGTGGGAGGCCGCCTCGGCACCTGCCCCGTCTCCACCACCTCCCCCTCCTCCTCGTTCGTGGGTGCATCGTGGTCGTCGTCGTCCCCCACCCCGGGAGGGAGACGGACAGGAGTTTCTCGCCCACGGCTGGCTTTGGAGGCAGACTAAATGAGTGTGTGCCCGCTGCATGGCGTGGCGTGCAATGACAGCACAAAGGCTCGCAAAAGGAGTCTCGCCTGCCCAGACCACAGTCCATTGTCATGTTTAGTTCAAGAGCCCAGAGTGCACAAACCTCACTGGCTTCTTTCTCAGCTGATGAGGAGGCCCTGTACCTCGGATGAGTGAGGTGCGGGGCCCACACTCCGAGAGATTTGCGTGGCTTGCCTGGGATTGCTATGGAGTTTTTTCGTCGGATTTGCAGCAACACCGCTGGGGTCGGTTGTTGAATGGGCAGCATCCACGGACTCATGAGGAAGAGCATCGTGTTGGGCCCCCTTGAGTCCATAGAGTGCCTCCAGCGGGCAGCCCGCCAGCAGTGCTGCGCAATGCAAGGCAGCAGCAACAGCATCGGGAGCAGGGGACAGAGGCGGGTCCTCCCTCGTGCCAGTGCGCGGCCGTTTGCCGGCGCTCCTTCGAGAGGGCAGCGCGAAGCAGTGCCGAATTCTTCGCACTGGTCGCCCACCCCCCGCCATCCGAGCGCACGTGCCCTCGCCTGGCCTTCGCCCCGCCGCGGGCAGCAGACGGGGCCCGTGGTGCGAGCGCGCGGCGGCCTGAGGGCGGTACGGGGGCGGGCTCCTCGCGGAGCCCTGGGGGGGGGGGCCCGCCTGGTGCGCACCGAGAGCCCCCCCCCCCCCCTCCAGGGATCCCCCGCGAACCCGCCTGTCGGCGGCGAGCCTGGGGGGCTCGGACGGCATTGCCAAAGGGCTGGGAACGCCACGGGCCTTCTGAGCAGTTTTCGAAGCCCTCTCCGAAGGCGCAGGCGGCCTGCGAGGGCTTCTGAGAGAAGCCCCGCCGCCTTTAAGGATACCTGCCCCCTCTCACTTCCCGCCTGGGCTCGCCGCCAAACATGGGCTTTGGCGTCGGCTGGGGGTCTCAGGTGGCCCAGCACTGGTTCCTGGCCGCAGCAGCAGGGGGGGAGGGAAGGTTGCCTTCTTTTGTGTTTTGTTGACCTCCTGGGAGCTTTCGACGCCACGGCTGGACGCCGCTCGAAAAATTTGTGCATTTCGACTCTGGGAGGGGTCCGGGGAACGATTTTGAGGGGATATGGCTCCATCCCCCACTTGACATATTTTCTTTGAGTTCATCCAGCTCGGACCCCCTGGTCGCCTGCAAGAGGGATATGATGATCACGAAGGCGATCACCGACTTGTGCCCGATAAGGAGGAATATGCCGCGAGAGAACATGATCTAGTCCCTTGAAGTCGCGGTCATCTTCCCAGGGCCGGCTTTTCTTCCTGGGTCCCCCCGCGGGCAGTAAATTGCGACTACACAGTCTTGTGTTTCTCCACCGCGTTCGAGGTCTGGCTCTCGAGCCATGACTCGGGCGTGCAGCGGCCGTTCGGGGCGATTCGGGCATCCCCAGAACTCAGGAGGAAAAAAACACAGACATAATCAATCGTCGATCCCCCAGAAAAGACTGGAATATGGGAAGTGGGGGGGAAGACAAAAACCTTGAAAATATCAAAGATATGGAGAATCCTGTTATTTGTGTGTATTTATTTGTGTGTCCCTGGGCTCTTCAAGAACGCTGTCGGCGAGGCGCAGCTCTTGGCAGGCACCCTGGGGGCGGGACCGGCGGAGTTTCCCCCGAAGGCTTGCAGAGAAGCCTCCATCCTGAGCGGAAGGTGTGTGCTCATCCTGCGGATGCCTGTGCTGCAGAGGAGGGAAAGGCACCCATACCTCTACCCTGCCCCCGTTTTCCCCTTTTCGGGCCTCCTGGGCGGTCCTCGTCGCCACCGCTGAATTCGCCTCGAAATCCTGGTCAGAACGCACCCCGAGAGAGGTCCGGGGAGTAGCGGTATCGGTACCTTTTTGTCTCCCCAGTGCTCATCCTGCCCGCTTCGCTGGCGCTTGCTCCGAGTGCCTCCCGTCTTCGGACACCTGCAGCGGTCATGGAAACAGTGGGCACGATGCCCGACAACAAATGTTGCCCAAAACCGATAGCGGCCGTTGTTTGGCAGGCGGACTTCTGTCTTAGACAGACATCGTCCGCGGCAACACCGACAGCGAGTCCTGTTCAAATGAACAAGACATGTTGTCGCTCTTCGTACCTGCTCTTCCGTGCCCTTTTCCATCGTACCGATCGTCGCGGACCGCCCGCGATCAGGCGGCAGAGTTGGCGCAGGCCGAAGAGGGGGTCCAGCAGGCAGGGCCCCTCTCCGCGCCTCGCTGAGATGGCGCCCTCGGTGCTGAAATCCCGAGGTCTCCGACGGTAGGACTTGTTGGTTCGATCTCGGCCAATGTCTTCCAAGTAATGCTTTTGGTTGTTCGATCACTCGATTTTTCCGCACGCCCTGCATATGGCCGAGCAGCCGACAGGTGCTCGTGAGACTCGCGCGCGATTCGCGCCTGTTTTTCGGCTTCGGTTTTGGGGCTTTGGGGTGTGTCATCGGGGCCTTGGGCAATCAGAGGGGGATCCGGGGCGAAAAGTTACCCCTCAGAGCAAGGGAGTGGGACCTCGTGGGGCTAGACATTCGAAGCTGCATCAGAGGAACAAGTCTTATGTTGCAGCGCCTTACTTTGCTTCGAGGTGTAATGACTACGGCTGCTGATGTTTCCTCCCTCCCTCCTCTCCCCTCTGTCCCTCCCTATTGATAACAGTTCCTTCCTCACAATGATGCCAGTGATGTTGTCGCAATCATCTCTGTTATGTGTGTGTGTGTTGTTGTTCGGTCTCCTCGCCGTCCTCCTCCCGTCATGATTGCACTCGTGTTCCTCGTCCTCGTCTCCATGTTCCCCATACCCCTTTCATCCAGGATTTGTTTTATTGAATTCATTACACTTCCATTCGACCTTGCTCTTTCTCGTCGTACTTCTGCTCGCTCTCTCGCGCTGCACAATCTTACGCTGCGCCGAATTGCTCTGCTTATCCTCCGGACCAGCCAGAGCAACCTTCTTTGTCCGCGGCGACGAGGGAGCAGAAGAGAAACAGATGCCGATATAGGAAGACTTCCCTCGTCGCCACGGCTAAATTCGCCTTAAAATTCATATTAGAACGAACCCCTGAGCTTTGTATCCATCTAGTGCCCGAGGTCCTCGTGGAATGAGCCAACATATTCGATCTCTCGTATGTGCTGTTCTCGGAGCGGCTTCCGATCAGAAGCGCACTGGCGTAATATTCGAAGCGATGTTCGGGGCTTAGGAGACGGGGTTCGATGCAAACGGGGAAAGCCAGGGCGCCTGATCTTGCAGGATCCTGCAGAGCAAGGATTGCATTGACCTGGGTCAGCGTGCAGGATCCTGCGGGATGTTGCAGGACCTTGCATGATTCTGCAAGGCCTGACTGACCCGGGTTTGCGTGGACCCGGGTCCGTGCGTCCTCAAGATGCGCCGCCTGTGGCAGATCAGTGTTGGGCATTGGGTGGAAGGGAACAGGGGCAATGTTAGGGGGGGATTGGCTCGGGGGGACGCATCATCCCTAGACGCTCTTTCATCGCCGATTTGAGCCCGATAGCCCACACCGCCCGGGAAGTTGTGGATTCGGCATCGGAGGCTTATCGCCGATCTATCGGCGATGTATCTCCGATTTCAGCTAATTGCTTCCCCGCCTGAGCCGATTCTCCCCGCACGTTCCCCCTCAAAACAAACAGACAAACAATGTACTAAACCTTGTAGTCTTATGGAAGAAATCCCAGGGAGGCTTGTCCAAAGGGGGTTGTCCGTTGGGGTTGTCCAGATCCCCGCTGAGTTGTCCAAGGGGGTGTCTGGGTAAGTCGTTCTGTCGTCATTGATCAGCCCCGTTTGTTGGGTTGTTTGGGGGGGTTGTCCCGGGTTCTTTTTGCTTGGATGTTGTTTCCGTTGAACATGGGGTGTCTTCGGGTGAACCCATCGGCAAGATGTCGCGACGCCATGGGCACGTGCCCAGGCGCACGCGCGCGCGCCCCGGCGCCGCGGCCTCGGAGGCGCAGGCGCAGGAGCGCGGGTTGGAGGCCCGCATCCAGCGGCTGATGGACCAGATGGTGGGGCCTCTAGCTCACCACCCACCGAAACACTCCCAACCCAAGCCGAAGGCCTCAATTTGCCTTCCATTCCCAGTGGGGGAGGCGGCGGGGAATATTGGAAAATCACATGTGGAACCCCTTGCCCCCCCAACACGAACGATGGCTCTTCGGGTTAGGTTGGGATGGTTTGTTAGGTAGTCTCTAGCAGGGCCGCCTGCGATCCCATTCTCAGAGGAGGACAAGGCACCGATTCCTGACCCTTGCCTCGTTTTCGCCTTCTTTGGCTTTTCGGGCGGCCCTCTTGTCGCCACCGCTGGATTCGCTTTCAAATTCGGGTCAGAACGCCCTCCCCAGGAGAGGTCTGGGGAATAGCGGTGACCGCATCTTCTAGCGAGCTCAGATTCGATGCGGGCCGCGATTCCGATTCGGTCCGATTCGATTTGGCGGCATCGGCGGGCTGGCCGAAGTTCGGCGCGGCGATCCGATTGCGATTCGATTCGGGATGGCTTGCTGGTGATTCAATTCGTTGCCGATATGATATGATTTCGCAGTTCGATCCAGCTCAGGCTTGGCTAGCAATCCAGGCGTCCCTAATGGGGTCCGGGCAGATGGGGTCGGAGGATCACGCCGAATCGCCGATGCATCGGCGAGGCGGCTCGATGAGGGGCGCGCTTTTCTCCACGCCGACGGCTTCGCCGCACCGCAGATGTCGGCCAGGCATCGGCGATGTGGTGCGATCCTCCGACCCCATCTGCTCCGACCCCATTCTGAAAGGGTTATTTCCCCTTCCCCCTTCCAGGAACGGGGGAAGCCACCAGAGAAGGAGGGGGAGGAAGGAGGAAGATGGAGGGAGGAGGAAGGAGGTGGATCGCGAGTCGAAGAACAAAAATCTGCACTGATGAACTTTCGAATGATCGCGCAGATTGATGGGGCTGGAGCCAGACCTCCTGGAGCTCGCTGAGGATGGCGCCAGAGGTGCTGCTTGGGTGGCCTGTCGCCGCTTGGGGAGGCCCCCAGGGGAAAGAACTCTGGAGGTCCACGGTGCGAAATGCTACGATTTCGGAGGTCTGGGAGTAATTGGGGTCAGCCCTGACGAGGGTCACCTGATCCCATTCGATCCCCTCAGCCGACCCCTTACCCCTCCCTCCGATAGCCCTGGTTTGGGAGCCACTTTGCAGCTGGCCCGGGTCCGCCGCATGGCTCTGGTTGGCTTGGGCTAGCGCTGACCCAGGTGAGCCCGTCCTACGTAGAGGCGTTCAGGGAGCCCTGGAGGCCAGGGCGCTTTTCCTCAAGGCTCTTGTGCCTCGCCTGAGGCATCGTGAAAGATGGCTGCGTTGGGCATGCGTCGTGTCGACGCAACGGCTACCCCAGCGCGGCCGTTCATGGTTGAACGCTGCGATTGGCTTTACATTGGCTCATATCGACCGGTCGGCTTAATCGGAAAGCCGCAATCGTTCAAGGTTGGACGACCCACGCGGTGTCAGAACCAACGCACAAGTCGTCACGACACGAATTTGCTGTACGTGGTTGCGTCGGGCGCGTGGGGTCAGTTTTCCAGGCCTCTCTTTTTTCCTTCTCTTTTCCCTTTTCCCCGCCTACCCTAAGTATGAGCCGACGATCGTTGTGCTGTCGCATAAGGGGCACGTTGTCGTACCAGAGTGGGTGGTGAGCCTGCCAGGGTGCAGATTTAGAAGACAATTCGTTGTATGGCACTGCGCCCAGGCCCTACACTAGAAAGGCTGGTGCTTCTGAGTTTTGCAGTTGATCGGACAGTCGTGGAATGACCAATGCCCACGCCTCATCGGCAGAGCTGGCACGAGAGTCAAGAGCGGCCTTAGTTTTGCAGAGCACCCTGATGTTCTTCGTATTCTGGATCGCCTCGGAACTCTTTATGGTCATTGATTGGCTTTGCCCTATCATCCTTCTTATCCAACTCATTACATGCACCATCCGTATCCACGCTTGCTCAAGACATTCGGCTCGATACCTCTTCGTTCGGCTGGTCAGGTGTCAAGCGAGTTGGGCCAGGCATCTCACGCCAGGCAGTTCTATTGTCTGCTAACTCTTGCCCTACGAGACGGTACTCAGTGGGGTATGATTGGTGATTAGGTCGGCCTTGCAATGTCACGGGTACCCTGTTCCCTCGTGTCTTGTGAATCGTGTTGCGTGCCCTCTTCATGGCTGCAGCACGCGTTGCCCTCGAGCGAGACTTGTGTCCTCTCAGGTGTCCGTTTGCAATCAGTCCCGACTGCGTTCATCATCTACTATGAAGAGCAGGGTATTCATCGTGCGCACTATGGTCGTACTGCCCCTAGTATTCATCTGCCTGCGGCAGTTCCCGCCACAGTTTGAGGCCAACAGTTTGGGCGGCGATTATTCGAAAGGGCGCAAGAGGCCATCATGTGTGTTGATGCTGATGCTGATGACGATGATGATCACGATGATGCTGATGATGCTGGTGATGCTGATAATGATGATGATGCGGCTGATACTGATGCTGATTTTGATGTTGAGGTTGGAGATGATGGTGTTGATGATGATGATGCTGATGATAGTGGTGGGGATGGTGATGATGGCCATTGTGATGCTGATGCTGATGCTGATGCTGCTGATGCTGATAATGACAATGACTGTGCTGATACTGGTCAAGACGACGATGATGGCGATAATGATGGTGCCGATGCTGATGATGGTGGTGATGATTATGCTGCTGCTGCTGCTGCTGATGACGATGATGATGATGATGATGATGATGATGATGATGATGGTGCTCATGATGCAGATGATATGATGCTGATGGTTATGGTGATGGTGATGGTGGTGGCGATGCTGATCATGACGATGATGACGTTGACGACGGCGATGCCGATGACGATGATGCTTATGGTGATGACGATGATGACGATGATGATGCTGATGAGGCTGATGATGATGATGATGATGACAATGATGACGATGCTGATAATGATGCTGATGATGCTGAAGATGATGGTGGCGATGATTATGATGATGATTGTGGTGGTGGGTGTGATGGTGATGGTGGTGTTGGTGATGATGCTGCTGAGGATACTGGTGACGACGCCGATGATGATGATGAAGATACTGATTGTGATGATGATGAGGAAGCTGATGATGATGACGGTTGTAATGATGATGCTGGTGATAATGTTTATGCTGATTATGAATAGCATTATGATTGTGATTATGAGGACGATGAGGATGAGGATGAGGAGGAGGATGCGGATGAGGTTAAGGATGACGATGACGACGACGATCGCAATGACGATGGGTAGGAAGAGGAGCATGAGGAGGCGGAGGGTTCTGATTGTGTACATGAATGTAGATATAACTATGTCTGCCCATATAAGCCTTCGGCCCATCCCGCCAAGGTGCCTGGGACGTGGGAATGAAGCCTTTTGCATGTTTGCTGGGATCTCGTGGGAGACTTCTCGGGGGCCTCTTGGAGGCAGTTCGGGCGCCTTGGGGGTCGTTTTGGAGACTCTCTGGGCCTCCTTTGGGCCTCTTCGGGGGACTCTTGGGGCCTCTTGGGGGCCTCGTGGAGCCTCCTGGGGGCCCTCTTGGGAGTCCTCTCGGGGCCTCCTAAGGGCGTCTTGGGCAAAAGGCTCGGATTTGCGGTTTGCCGTTCTGGGGCTCTCTTGGCCATTTTCGGCGCGTCGTGAGCTGCCTTGGGGCTCTCTTGGGCCGTTTTGGGGCTCTTATGAAAGCCTCTTGGGCCGTCTTGGGGTGGTTTTGGGGGCCTCTAGCACCTCCTGGACAAAAATGCGGATCTGCACTTCAGGAAGCAATCGCCCCCTGAGTAATCGTTCTCGATCCTGTAACTCCAACCCTCCATCGATCGGCGATCCTCCTTTGTCGAACGACCCTGATCGCAGGTGGCGACTCCTGGACCATCCAGGGTCGAGGCTCCATCGACGATGGGAGAGCCGAGGTCCACCGGGAATCGAAGATGCAGGAGCGAGGCCGCAGGGACCATCGCGAAGAGCATATCCAAGACCGACCGCAGGCCGTGAATTCTGCATCCAGGGCCCGCGATCGAGGCACCAGGATCGCGATCGAGGATCGAGGGCCGATGGCCGCAGTTCGAGGATTGAGGATCGAGCGAAAGCCGATGTCCTGGGGTCCAGGGCCGATCGAAGGTCGACTACTCATGCTCGGACCAGAATCGACGGTGTAAGATCGAGGGTACAAGATCGAGGATCCAGGGCCGATCGAAGACCACAGGTCCAGGACCGACCGACATCGCAATGCTGCAGAATCCAGAGCCGATGGATCGATTCGAAGGTCCAGTTTCGATCGATGGATGATCGACGATCGTGCAGAGTCCAGATCCAAGAACCAGGGCAGATCCTGGGTCCTATTTCTTCGATCTTCGATCACTCATCGATCCTCGATCCTCCAGCCTCCATCTTCGAACAGCCCTGGACCCCGAAACTGGAATCTCGATTGCCGAACCCTAGACCGATCCAGGATCTGGGGTTCGTTCAAGATCAAAGAACCAGATCGTCGATCTTCGATGGACCCTCGGTCTTGGATCCTTGACATTCGAACGTCCCTGAATTCTCGCTCCTCGATCGGTCTTGGCCCAGAGAATGCAACGCTGCCCCCCAGCGGACTGCATGACCCGAAGTTGACTTCCAGGTGGCGCCGATATGGCTCCAAGGCGACCCCACAAACCGGATGGACGTTCACCGCTCGGGGCCTAGCTCGGACGTGCTCGGAGGAGCGACAGCTCAGAATCTGGCTTGTCTGGACAACGCACAATGAGAGGCACGTGAAATATCTGACGGCAGAACTTGGCAGGAACGGGAAAATTAAACCCGTTGCGTCGGTACCTTGGTGCAGGTGCAAGCTGAACGCGGAGGAAGTATCGCGCGAAATCACAACTCTCTGCGGCATGAGATGCGGCAATTCATGTGGTTGTGCGGAGGTCCCAGGCGAAATCAATATTTTCTGTCGGCATCTGTACGGTCCCTGAGCATGGTTATGAGTAAGTCCCA